TCCTTGTCTCCCCTTACTGTGAAAATCGACCTCATGTGAGATGCAGCCTCTGTCTATTTTCTCAGACATTCCAGTGGAACAACAGCCAGGCCTATTGACTCAGAGACTTCCTTCCTTTTCAGCTTCTCCCATTCAAAGTATCAAAAATGCAAGCGGTAACTACTGTTTGGTGCCCTTGTGTGTATATTATTTAGATGTTTGTCTACTGTATTTATTACTGCTAATAATTGTTGGATATACACTAAGGATAAGGTTTTTATGAAGCCTTTATTTTTAAAATAAAGACAGGGTAAAACTAAATACATTTCTTAAAAGTCAAAATGAATCACTTACAACTTAAATTTAATTAACTGGTGTGTGTGTTTGTGATTTACCCTGGCACCTAGCTTGCCCGGTGGACCGGGAGGGCCTTGCTCTCCTGTATCTCCCTGTCGGTAAGAAAAGAAAAATGATCACAAAGTCAAAGGGTTGAGTTTAGAGTTCAAATATGAAAAAACTAAAGAGAATAGAAATCCAACTTGGTGAAACACTTACAGGCTCCCCAATGGGTCCAAGTGGTCCCACCTCTCCCTGCTCCCCACGCTCACCCTGTGGTGTGACAGTAAAATGACCCACTGACTCCACAGAGGTGACAAAGAGTGTTCATGAGAGTGCTTCGACATGTGCTGCTCATACTTACTGGTTTGCCAGCAGATCCCAATGGTCCAGGGAAGCCTGCTTCACCAGCATCTCCCTGTACAAAAACCAAACTGGCTTTCAAATTTTTACACTTTAAGGAAAAACAAAACCAATGGACAACATTTTAAAACTGATTAAACAATTAACCTTAGGGCCACTCAAGCCTTTTGGTCCAGGTGCACCAGGCAAACCCTAAAAGCAGAGAAGATGTCTTAAGAGATACAACAATAACAAGAGGAACAGTTTCTTACAACAAAGAACAAATATACTGAAGTTACCTCACTGCAAGAAACTCTTGAGCATAAAGAATGCTGGCTAAGTGGATAAAAATATATTTGTCTGAGCTTTTAACCCAAATAAGCTTAAGGAGATAAACATGCTCTCAGTATTTAAATCAGGTGATGACTCTTACGCCTGAAGAGTCTTTCTTAATGCTGTCACAGTCAGGGTGTTCATGTTTGCCAACCGATTCTCATTAGTGCCTTTCATTAGACTAATCACAGATTAGAGGGCTGGAAAAACTTTGCACTCACATTTCTGTCTGAAGAAGGCAGTAATCACTGTCTCACAGCAAAGCCTCTTTTATGTATATAGTATCACAGAGGGATGAACTCAACAGTAGTTTGAATTTGAAACGTCAATATATAGAAAACAGGTCAATGCAATACAAAAACGTTCTCCTTTCTACTGCTTGTTACCATGATGTGAGTATTGTGCATGCATGTGCTATGGCGCCTTGAACTGCTTATGAGGCATTGACTTTGGTGCATCCAATCAGAGTCAGCCTTGACAGTTTGGGGTCAAAGGTCATACTCACAGAAAGCCCCAGAAGGCCAACCTCTCCTGGAGCTCCTGGTTTCCCAGTGCTTCCCTGCAGGGGAAACGGGCAATTAAAAAATTATGCTAATACTGCTCCTGACAGCAAAATATACAAGCCTTGGTTTTATTTTTATATGAATTATAAGTTTTATAAATCACTCAGTAAAATTAATGTGCTACCTTTGTCCCTGGCATCCCAGGAATACCCTCACGACCATCCACACCTGGTAATCCCTGGTAATGAAAAGGACAAACTGAACTTTGTGCACACAGTGTATCTGAATATTAGGTTTATTTGTCATTATTGATTGGACACTCACAGGCTCTCCCTTAGGACCTGGAAGGCCTGTGATTCCTCTCAGCCCTTGAATGCCCTGAATAACAAATCAACAAAACATTTAGTCCATTTCTAAAATCTGTACAGACAAAATCCAGTGAACCAACATTTACTTTATAAATTTCAAAATATATTATGTCCATGATGATGGGATATGTCTACTAACCATTTCACCTTTTGGCCCGACCTCGCCCATCACACCTCTCTGGCCCTGATCCCCCTGAAATAATGCATTGAATAATAGTTGACTCATATGTAGCACATTTGCTTCACAAATAAAATCATTTGTACTGTGGAACAAACTTACAGTTGATCCTGCGACACCCTGAGGACCTGGACTTCCATCAGGACCTCGAGCTCCCTGCCACAGAGTAATTACTGAGAGTTAGTATTGGTATTATAATCTGTTTAAAGGATTTGACATTAATAGATGACAATAATGGAATTCACCCGGAATTCATGAGTAATTCAGAAAGAATCAGACATATATGAAAATTGCACTGGATGCTTAAAAAGCCTATAGAAATACTTACCCTCTCTCCCTTGGGGCCCATCATTCCAGTGGCTCCACGAATTCCCTGAGGACCCTGTTATACAGTAACAGATCCAGCTCAGTGGTCACAAAATCCAGAACCTGACACAGTAAAGAACAAACTTTAACTTGAAAGGATCTAATATATCATGAACTATAATAAAAACAGCATCTAACCATTGGTCCTTGGGCTCCAACTTCTCCTGGACCTCCCTGGTCTCCCTCCTCACCCTGTGTAGTGAAAGAGAAAAAATATTAGCAGAAAAATGACTTCATGTCAACCGGATGAAACACTAAACACCTCATAAGAATGAAACCATATCCTGACACATGGTGCAACTCACATCCCATTGGTGCTCACTCTTTTGTAGAAAAATTGAAACAGAGGCTGTTTCTAACAACTATATGTTAACTAAAAAATGTGGCAGCTTTTCAGAGATGTGTCTCTTTGGAAATTACAAATTATTTATATACTGAGTCTGTGGCAGACCCAAGAAGGCATATTCTTTAAGATAAATAACGGTCCAGGTCTGAGGCTGTGCACATTTTCTATTGTTAAAAAGGCACTTTCTTTTTTTAATTAATATGGGTATTAGAACAGGCTATTAGGACATGTAAACAATACCTAGATTATAATCAAATATTACACAGCAAACAGAAATTAACATGATTAAACAGGTCAGCGTTTGTTCACATCTAAGATCAAGAGAGAAATAAGAACTTAACAAATGCTGATCTGACTAATCATGTTTTTTTCTGATTGTTTATAATGTTTAATTATAATCTGTGGATAGATAGACTCTTCAATCTTATGGAAAAATACACTTTAAACCCCCAGCACAACATCTGGTTATTCTATTGATAACTATAAACACCAATATGTTTGTGAATTTGTGAGTGGAAAGCAGGCAAACGACCTCTCAAATGAAATTTTCAGTACAGGAGAAAATCATTCTTGGGGACAGAGCTCAGACTGACAGTAAATAATATCCTGGCACAGAGTGATGAATGGAGATAGGCCCAGACTCATTTCCATTTATATAGTGCATGGACACATTAGAGGGAGAGTGGTTGTGCTTGAACATCTTTTCAAATAAATCATCCTCTGTGCATTACAAGGAGTCAGAGGCATTACACACAGGTATCACTTCCTCTTGAAATAGAGCAGCACAAATAATACGTGTCTCAAAGGTGCTGGGAATCCCTTTTTCAAGTTTAAGACATGGCTCATTTTTTGCTGATGTAGAATGCCATGCCATGTGTGGCAGCTGTGGGGGGAAATTCATCTTTTTAAGTAACTATTTGTGCACTGTTATAGCAGTATAAGTTCACTTTGTTGATATATGGAACGTTTATAACATTACATATGACTAAGAATCCAAACAAGCAAGCAATTTCCCCTAAATGTAATGTATTTTACCTTGTGGCCTTGCTTCCCAGGCTCTCCCGCTTCACCTTTTGCACCTTTGTGGCCCTGGAAACATATAAAGAATAAGAGGAGCACCAATTAAATACACTATATTTGCAGATCCCAACATGTTTGTAGTCCAACAACAAAACATTTCAACTCTGCTACTCACCTTCATGCCAGGAAGGCCAGGGTGTCCAGATATCCCAGGTGGACAAGAGTTTGGACACTATACAACAACACAAAAGTCAGTAAATATTCCTGACATCTTACACAAAAGACTAATTCATTATCTCAAGGGAACAAAGCTTTACCAGGTCAGCACTGCCTAGCATTCCACTTGCACCCTGAATTTGAGAGAAATTACAAGTTAACACTTTCATATTGCAAGAGCTCTACATGCTCTAAGGAGCTTGTAAATCACTGAAGGAAGGATAGCAGTCTGTAATGGTGTTAACACTCACAAGGCCAAATTAATTTCATGCTTACATCATGAACCTTCCCTTGTGACATATAACGTCAACATTAGCAAGCCTGGCGAGATGTCAAATGATGCTGTGTCACTTACTCTGGGCCCTGGTGGTCCACGAGGTCCCTGTGGCCCTCTCACACCCATGGCCCCCTGTGGAAAGAGACACAAATGTGTCAAAAACTATACAAGGAAATGGAATGCACTGTCTATAAATACCAATAAGTGGAAAGATAAGAAAAAAACAATATTTCTCCTGAATGTTTATCCGGTCTGTTACAATGCCATCTAAGAACTGTCAAAATACCACAATAAGCCCGCTCTGTTAAACAAACCCTTGTGTATGATAGTTGTGATTCTTTCATTTTGATGTATTATGGAGCATTATGTTGTTAGAGGTCTGTCATTAATTCTAATGTCTTTTGTTGGTAATGTAATTGTCTAAAGGAATAAGGAATAAAAATCCATTATTTCAACAAACAGTTCTCTCGATCTGCAAATAAAGTGTAGGATAGGTGGCTCAGTTGTTCTGTGTGCAAATACTCAAATACTTGTATACAATACAGTTGTTTCATTTCATTTTATTTCAGCTTGAACTGGCTTTCACTTTTTGTTATCATGGCCAACATATAAAGAAAGACCCACCAGTTCTGTCATTAGCCAATGGTAGCATACCACCATCACTACCACCCTAGCAGTATCTGAATATGCAGTCAGTGTGATTTCTTCTATTGTCATAATTACAACACAGTAACAGTCCATTGTTCTGTCTTTACTCACAGGTAGCCCAGCTTTTCCCATTTCACCTGGAAGTCCTCCAGGCCCAGGTGGTCCCTATTCAAAGCCACATTTCAGTTATTCTGTATCAACAAAAACTTAAAACCATAAAGATGATAAAGAGTATCAGAATGTAAGTAGTGCAATATAAACTGTGTTAGCAAGTATGTAACATAAACATTTAACTTACAGGAGGTCCATCTGGCCCAACACCCTAAAGAGAAACATACAGTATATAGTATATAGTATGATGATACTTAATACACAAGACAAGAAAGGCATAAACAATAAAATGTAGACAGCTTCTGGATTGTGTGATGTTTGTGCTGATCCTTGGACTGACAGATTTTAAGAGAACCTGCGACTCACAGGTGATCCACGAGGTCCAGGATTTCCAGGTTCACCCTAAAGGATGAAAAATGTATTAGATATGGCAACACTGAAAGTAACACTGAAATACTGTGTTCAGATAAAACTGAGCTGTATGAGACTGCACACGGTCCAAACTAACATTCCTCCAATTCATCACATGACTGAGCTGAGTAGACTTGACCAAACAATGTTTAGCCTAACAAGGACCAATGTTGGGGCTTCATTGCTCGCAGAGATTACACAGAAAACTTTCAGGATTAAGGCTCTTTTGTCATGAGGAATTGGTTTATGCACTGCAGCTCTTGCTACTGTGCCAAAAAACTAAACAGCAGCTTGGCACCATTTCACTGACTGTGAAGTCTGGGAAGTAGGAAAGCAAAGGCTCATTAGTCACTCACTTTCTGTCCAGGGGGACCGTCGGGCCCAAGATCTCCAACAGGGCCAGTCAAACCCTGCAGAGAAGAAACATCAGGCTTAATACATCACAACAAACCTTGGAACACTTCAGGATCTGTCAGTTTTTATCTTATAGCATGATATAACTTGTTCCTCCTCTGTCAGTATTTCTATATTCATCATCAGATCTCCATACGTTACATCTTAATAACACAATCATGATTCAGTGGGAGGAGACCTATAGATTCAAAAGGCGGATTAACTTGACTTGAACCTCCTCCTCTTAAATGTTTCCATATATACTGCACTGCAGCCACGTGTTTGTCACTCATCTTGAAATTAAAGTTTTGTTTTTGAGCGTGTCCAAGAGAACAGACACACAGAAAAAGTCAACACCAGGGCAGAGGGCAAAGCTTTCAGACTGCAGACTGTGCAGAGAGCAACATTCCTCTGGCTCATTTGAGATAAGCCCCCCTGAAAGAAATTATGCCACACTGTTTTGAGGATTCTCAGCAGAAGAAAGCAACAGGGGCCAGCCAACAAAGCTGCTATTGTTTCCAGAAACCTGGTAGATGTATCAAGTCACAGCCAATGAATCCCAATGTATTTTTTAAAAAAATTCATAATAGTTTATTACAACACATTCTGAATGAGTGTTGAAATAAATTGACATTTTATCTTCCTACACTTTTAAGGTGACCTCAATGCACCTTAAGCCCCCCTTGGTCAGTCTATCATCAGCATCAATGTTATGTTAGGATGTTTCCCTAACCCTCCTTTACACTCTGAAAGGAGTCAGAGTTAATTACTCTTTACCCTTTTACAAAGGAAATGAGGATTTATTCATCCTGTTTATTACATTCCTTATATTTTTGCACACACTTTGCCATGATCCACCATCTATGATTTCACAAGTCACTCAAAACTAATGAGGGCAAACAAAACCTACATGGTGGGAGGATCACATGCTGTAGTTCCACCCCCTTTCAGAAGAGGTTTGCATGTAAATCCCATTTTGGGCAGCAAAGCAGCAAATGTAAAAGATATAAAATCAGAAACTACTTACATCATTTCCTGGAATTCCAGGTAATCCTGAAGAGCCAGGTTTACCTGCATCACCGTCAGGTCCCTAAAAGCAAAGGTTCCACATACACTCATAATTCACTAAAAATCCTACAATGAAAAAAAGCAATAGCTTTGATCATTTTATTTAAGAGTAAATGTCATAATTACAGGAAGACCATCCTCGCCATCTGCTCCCCTTTCCCCCTGAAACACAGAGAGTCAGTGAATTAAGGACAGCACATAGTGAGATACTTACAGAACATCTAGTACATGGTATGGATAGTGTTACAGAACTGAGAGCACTTACAGCAATGCCATCAATTCCTGGGACACCTGCAGGTCCAGGAGGGCCAGGAGGCCCATCATCCCTCTGAGTGAAACACCAACAATAATAGTAATATAATAAGAAAATGTCACTTTCAATTTCAAAAAAACTGCCCTATCGATTTTTGCCATATCTAATATTACCTCACTGCTGTACAGACAGTATGAAAAAATGAGAACAGGTGCATCACCCTTTGTTGCTAGAAGACAAGGGTGTCTCTGTGATAGTACTGTGAAATAGCTTACAGCCTGGAGATGATTTCTTCTTGGAGAAATTCATCAGCAATAGATAGTGTTTTGCCAAAGGAAGGTTTAAAAAGGAAACCACAGACGTTAAGTCACACACCTGACTTTGTTCTAGGAAAGACCTCCAATAGATTTACAATAAAACAATCCCAGCATCATGTCACAGTGGTAGATGGATGTTGCTATTTAGCCTGAGCACCAAAAGAACACTCACCTGCGCTTTTGTCACATCACAGACAAAGAGAGAGCACAGAAAGAGACAGAGAGAAACATAATAAGTCTTACCTGAGCGGAGCAAATGAGGACAAGCTGCAGGAGCAGCACCAGAAGTGACCCACTAACGCTGGGGGCCCGAGCCATGATTTCCCTGTGGACAGAAAAGGCAAAAGTTGCGGTCCTTTCTCTGGGATTTGTTGGGTTGAAGGAGCCCCCGACAAACCAACCCAACTGAATCCCCTTCAGCTGTTTAAACTGTCTGAGCTCCCATAGCTATCAGGGGCTCATGTATATTCAAACAATGTTTGGTTACATGAAGGGATGGGAGGGTTTGCAGGGGAGGGAAAGACACCAAGGGGGGAGTGTCCACCCCGCAGACACCACCAATAGGCAGGAGCAGTGGGGATTTTAACCTCTGCTAAGTCCCAGAATTGTTAAGGTCTGACAGATTTGTCCTCTAGCCGTATAACATCATGACGACTGTGGGGGCAATTAGAGCAAAAGACAAAGATACAATATTGGCCAGTACAATACTTATAGGCTACACACACAATTACCCTATTTTTCATTTTACTGTTGGCCTGATAGACGTACCTCTGACTCGGATGTTAGTTCATATTTGTTTTCATTCTTACTGGTGTTGTTGCAGGGAGGTCATCACAAGCTTCTGTCCTGGCTCATGTCATATCATAGTGAATCAGCATTGTCTGCAGTTCAAACTTGATAATGTGTTGCTTTCTGTTCCTGGCGGGTGGGGGTGAGGGTGGTTAAGGCACTCTGTTGTCCCTCTGTGCCTCAGGAACAAGAAACTCCACACATATTTGTCGGTAAAGTCTGAAATGAGAGACAGCAGACTAGCTACACAGTCACAGACAAACCAGACAAGATGATAAAAAGCCCCTGAATGAAACCTACAATAAGCAGACGTTATGCATATGGTACATGTGGCACATGCATAGTCAAGGGTCTAGAAGTATATGAATCAAAAGTAGAGGATGACAACCTACTCTTTCCTTTCACTGTGTCAACATACAGTAGCCTACATCAGTAGGCTAAGATGTAGCCTAAGTGGTTTATTGTTGTAGGGCCTAATGTCATTATTCCTGATGCTTACACTTCAAAGATGTGCTACTTTAATGTGAAATGACACAAAGACATGTTATTCTTCAACTCGGGTTGAGGAAGGACATATGGATGATCAATCAGAGGCTGCAGGCATAACAAAACTTTAATCAAGAAAAATGTTGGAGGCCTACAAGTTTCTCTTCAATTATATAATTAAAATTGTTAAATAATGTTGTCATTGTTCCTGAGTGTTTTAAAAACTGGGATGTCTGGAGACTGTGGGTGCCTGAAAGTGGACAAACTTTAGTGTGCATTGTTTTAGTTGCAAAATCTGTAATCAGTGTTTTAGTCTAATAGATGTACCACAACTGCCATCACCAGATCGTCCTTGAGCTTTCCTATCAGCATGAAGACATCCAGACTGTTCGTTTCTCTGGAGGGTATGTTCTGAGACCCAATCATGACACAATCCACAAAAAGGGTAAGAGAGCGCCTGCTAACTTTTAGCAGGATTCTGTGCCACTGGTCACTGAAGAGAAGGGCCAAGGGGCTAAAAACAAAGTGTCTCCCAGTGTCCTGAGCATAGAATGTAAACACCAGAAACACAGACTCCCCTTTGAGTCTGATGGCCAGCTACTTGTTGCCATTCACATCCTGCATTTGCCAAATATTGCAGTTTTTATTTATGGTGCGTCTTTGATATTCAGGACCATGGACAGGGTAAATGGCGTTATACCAGCCACACCACTAGGTGTCAGTGTTCACTCACACAACTGTAGTTCACCTTGTGTTGATTTTGAAGTTGAACACTGGACCTACTGTATTTGATAAGCACCATTTCTGAGGAGATGATCCAGCAACCTTTTTAATTATACCACTTCTTGCCAGCTTAGTAATTTGGAACTTGGACATAACGTAAAATCTTAAGGGTACAGGGACAGAAGATCAGGTTTTTTATAGTCAGTCAGGATCTTGCATTGACCCTTTTCTCTGGTGTTAACAATCGACACTATACATCATTTTTAAAGTTTATATTATGCTGTCAAATGTCTCTCTAGAAATAAAGTGTATGTGTTCAAGTGACACATTACACTATATCATTTTTATAAGGCTTCCAAATAATAATATTACTAGATTAGCCTTTATAGTTTCATTTTAAACATATAGCATGTACATTATATTTTAAGTAGTAATATGATATTTTAGGCTACATGACACAAGTAAGATACTTGTTTATGGGCAGGGCAAGTGTCAAGCAAATAAAAAGCAAACTGAGCTTAGTTTTGTGAATTCATCTGGAAAGTGATCCTCCCCAACACTGATCTGAGGGCACATGAACTGCTGCGCCAGTCTGAGATGAAAGCCTCACAGCTGCAAGATGTAAGATGAAAAGAGAAAACATCCTGTTAGGAGTTAATATGTATTGCTCATGATGCGTATGTGTGTGTGCACGTGCATGTGGGTGTGCGTGTTTTGTGGGAAGGGAATAAAAGCTCAGTGTTTGGAGAGCTGCACCACTGCCTTAAATAAATATTTGGCTGTCTCTCACTGTATGCGGTTGCCTCTGTAACACTTCAGCTCTAGATTTGACAGTTTTTTATACATCTGGAAAAGAAATTTAAAGTCTTTATCCATTTGCCAAGTAGGGTGCCAGCATGGTATTAAATATCTGACACCTCTCAATGTATGACTCAGAGTTCATACTGTAATATTTGATGTTTTGCCTTTACTGTATTTATTGCTACATTTTACTCAGATAGCACCATTTACTCTATAGTTGAATCTATACAGGCACACAGCTAGACATACTAACCTAACAATGTTTGTTTTGTTACAAAAATGTTGTTACCTTCAGGTTGGCTCGTTATGGTCTTACATATAATTGGATGTGAAAAATTCATCTTGAATCTAAAATTGCCCATGTGTACTACCTGACATACAAATGGGTCTGTGCCTTTAATATAAAAAGGGTCAGCAACATGAAACAGCTAAGGCTCCATAGACCTCAATGCATATATATGTATAAAAATAAAAACTGCGCAATTATTCAAAAATGTATAGAAAGTGCTTCAACACTGAGGAATAACAGTCATAAGTAACCAGTAGAAATATAATTCAGATATGAAGTTTGTTGATAGTTGATAGATAGTGCTAACTGAACATAACTCACATTTGCAGCTCAGCACTGCAAGCTTCTTGCTTCAATGTATGAAATGTTCAGTGTTTGTTTTCCTTTCTGGTCATTATCTCACAAACAGCTCCATGCAGTGTAGAAGACTGCTTACTGAGAGAATGAAGTCCTGTGTAAAGATATTGTTGAATCACATAGCAACAGTAACACTGAGTACAGAAGGATATTTCTGGAATGCAATCAAAACATTTAAATCTTAACATGTATTATGAGTGAGAAAATCTATTTGTTTGCATTATGGCTGTCGCTACAAAATGAAATCTGTCGGATGGCACGTTATACACAAGGTCATTGAGCAGGAGCAGATTAACTTCCTAGAGAGAACAAGGCCCTGAAAATTTGCTTTCTCAGCAGGAGTGAAACGATCTGAGGTCACTGTGAGGGGTCTCTTATAGGTGTTACTGTTGTGATTTATTTTGGGGGAGTGAGTCAATAGTCTCCACAGAGTCAACTCTGCATTCCATTGCTGTACCCACCTTTGAATTAACTTAATATTTCTTCAAGCATGTGATCACTGTAGTGTGGGTAGTTCTATTTTCATGATTATGTACCATAAGTATCACCAACTAAATTAGCTGTGAAAAGATAACGTTACTATGTGGTGGCTTTATTTGCCCAGCACTCTTGGGCTCTACAGTCTCTGTGATCTCTATGGTTGCATGGAGACATCATTGTTTCCAGTGCAGTCCAAAACAAAAAATCCTGAGTTGTATTTGCTGTGTGACAACAAGAGGCAGAAAATAAATTATGTTTTAACAGGTCAGCTCCTGATGTATGGTGGTGCTTGTATTTTTCATTTTGGTGACCACATCCAGAATCCACTGAAATGTGTTGATTACTGTGTTGGTTCGGAAATTTGGCTCATGTTCGGAAGGAGTAAAACTGACTCTGTTTAAAGCATATTGTACCTCCCTGTACACTGCACAAATATGGTCTAATTACAAAAAAGGCAGTCTTAAGAAACTGACAGTGGCCTATAATGAAGCCTTGAGGTTATTATTGAAATGGCCTAGACGGATGAGTGCCAGTGAATTGTTTGTGGCATCTTGGATCAGTACATTATCTGCTGTTTCAAGAAATTTGATGTACAAATGTATTTGTCGTTTGAATAGTTCTGGAAACAACATAGTTTTATTGCTGACTAATATTGCATATAGTGATATGCAATATACTTCAGTACTTTGGAAACACTGGTATACCTGCCTTTCAAAAAGGTATTTGTTTATTGGTGGTTGTTGTTGCTGTTTTTTTATTGTTATTTATTTATTTTTTGTTGACTTTTTTATGGTTTTTTTTTTTTTTTTTTTTTGTTTTTTTTTTAGTATTTATACATCTGGACCTTGAGTTTGTGATAAAGTATCTATCTACTAAAAAATTTCATGACGTTAGAAATGTGTTTGCCTTTAGAAATGTTAGTGTGGAGAAACAAGAAATAAAACTGCCGTGTGTACATTGATGTCCCTGCCCCATATTTCTCCATCTGCTGATTTCCTCTTGTCTCAAGTGTTGAGCTGCAAATACTGGCAAGCTGCACTGATCCCATTTACAGAAAGTCTGCAAACTCATTTGCACAGGGGGGGAACACACGACAAAGATAAGCTAGTGCTCGCTATTTTTAAGGACTTTTAAAATGACATACATAGTGTCACATAGGTTTAAATAATTAAAATCTATTTTATAATTTGTTAAGAAGTCCAAGAATAAAAAAAAAGCTCCACCAGTAATGCCAAACGATTTGATTTTTGATTTGATTTATTCTTTCAAACATGCAGAACAATGACATCAACACACACATAATTACACAAATCCAACCAATGCTAATCCAGAATCAGTTTGCTTATACCTAGTACATGTTTGAATGGAGTAGGAAGAAGTCAGACTTATCCAGTCCTACCCCATAACATCATCTTATACAAAAAATTTCATGCATCATTGGCTGCAAGCAGTATCTCTACATAGGTAATTCTCTTCTGCACCAGACAAGTAATACACAGAAAATTTAAAACAGAGTGTTTCCTTCATGCATTCTTGATTAAATCTCTTA